CGTCACTTTTGACGAGTCCGTGCCCTTCTACCGCCTCTTCCCCTACCGCACTGCCCCGCTCCCTCCCCCGCCTCTCTTCCTCGCGCCAGGTGCTGCAGTGGTAGACCCCCTCCCCCCTCAGGGTGCCGCTCCCTCAGGTGTCTCTCAGGTAGACCCGGTTGAGCCTGCCGAGGTAGCTGTCGACTCGCGTCCTGCTAGAGGTGCTGAGCCTGAGCGTGCGGAGCATGAGCGTGCGGAGCCTGAGCGGGCGGAGCCTGGGGGTGCTGAGCCTGGGGGTGTTGAGACTGGGGGTGCTGAGCCTGGGGGTGCTGAGTCTGGAGGTACTGAGACTGGGGGTGCTGAGCCTGGGGGTGCTGGGTCTGAGGGTACTGAGCCTGGCGTTGCTGAGTCTGGGGGTACTGAGCCTGGTTGTGTTGTAGTTGACTGTGAGGCGCCTGGAGGACCTCCCTCTTCGCAGCAGCTCCGTGAGTGGTACTCACGGTACTGCAGCCTCCGGCGGAGTGCGTCTCGGGCTCGTGGTGCTACTGGAGTTGGTACTCGTGTTTCCCCACCACGGCGGGAGCCGCCCTCTTCCCCACAGCTTCGAGAGTGGTACGCTCGGCACATCAGTCTCCGGAGTGGAGCTGCTGGTGCTGGGGTCCCCGGAGTTGACGCTGCTGCGGGTGCTGCGGACCCTGGTGCTGGAGGTGTTGTTGCTGCTGGCGGTGCTGCTGGAGGTGCTGCTCGTACTGAGGACCCTGGTGCTGGAGGTGCTGCTGCTGCTGGTGGTGCTGCTGCTGGAGGTGCTGCTGCTGCTGCTGGAGTGGAGGACCCGGAGGGTGGAGCTTCTGCTGGTGCTGAGGACCCTGCCGCTGGAGCTTCTGCTGGTTCGAGAGTTGCTGCACGGCCACGGCCGTACTTCGTTCCGCTCCTTCAGCAGGTTCTTAGTCAGTGTCATCCTCTCGCCTTAGAGTGTCCTCCGTCTGTCCAGTCATAGCCACAGTTACCGACCACCTCCCCACTCCCTGTGCCTACTCCGTACACTGGTCCGACTGGAGGTCTAGCTGAGAGACGTGAGCCTGCTTCACGTCCTGTGTCCCCTGCGTCTCGTCGAGCGTCGCCTGTTCGTGTTGCTACCACTGCTAGTCGTGTCCAGCGTCAGCGTCCTCCTGCTGTCCCAGGCACTCACCAGATGGCGCTTCGTCAGTCCACTGCTTCGCAGCGTGTCGCTCTCCCGTCGCCTCCTGCGTCCTCTCTTCCTGCGCTTGCTGACCCGGAGTCAGACACCCTTCGCGCTGCCAGTCCTACTGTCACACGTCTCCTCGCTACGGTTGTCACTGACCCTTCCTTTGAGTCCGCTGCTGCGTCTGCCTTAGTCACTGAGCTTGTCGACTTTGCAGCTGCGTGTCGTCTAGACTACGCTGCGAGTCTTGTTGCTGAGTCTGAGTCTGTCTGTCCTCCGTCCGTCGGGGGTGAGTGTGCTCTTGGCACTGACGTTCTTGAGGACAGGCAGGAGGAGGTTGGTTGCCTTGCCGCTGCTTTGCCCCATCTCGTGTCCATGCTCGTTGCCCCTAAGGGAGACCCGGATGCACGAGACATCCCGACCCCACGCTCTTACGCAGAGGCGATGGCCGGTCCCTACTCCTCTCAGTGGCAGTCAGCCATGGACACAGAGATGGCTTCCTGGAAGTCCACAGGCACCTACGTCGACGAGGTTCCCCCACCTGGGGCGAACATCGTCAGTGGCATGTGGATTTTCAGGGTGAAGCGGCCGCCGGGCTCTCCGCCTGTCTTCAAGGCGCGTTACGTTGCACGAGGCTTCAGTCAGCGAGAGGGAGTTGACTTCTTTGAGACCTTCTCCCCGACCCCGAAGATGACCACTCTTCGGGTTCTGCTACACGTCGCCGCTCAGCGTGACTACGAGCTCCACTCTCTAGACTTCAACACAGCTTTCTTGCAGGGCAGCCTGCACGAGGAGATCTGGCTGCGCCGCCCACCTGGCTTCACTGGGTCGTTCCCTCCTGGTACCCAGTGGAGCCTCCGGCGGCCAGTCTACGGTCTCCGCCAGGCGCCACGTGAGTAGCACGACACACTGAGGACTACACTTGCGGCTCTTGGGTTCGCTCCTTCTACTGCTGACCCGTCGCTGTTTCTACGCACCGACCCCTCGCTGCCGCCGTTCTACTTCCTTGTGTACGTCGACGACTTGGTCTTTGCCACTTCTGACACAGTTGGTCTCGCTCACGTGAAGTCCGAGCTGCAGAAGAGACACACGTGCACAGACCTGGGTGAACTGACAAGCTATCTTGGCTTGCAGATCACCCGGGACAGAGCACGGCGCACCATCATCTTGACTCAGTCACACATGGTGCAGCAGGTCCTTCAGCGCTTCGGCTTCACGTACTCCTCGCCTCAGTCCACTCCTCTGCCTACGGGACACTCGCTCTCAGCTCTGCCTTCGGATGAGTCCGTCGAGCCGAGTGGTCCGTATCCAGAGCTTGTGGGCTGCCTCATGTACCTGATGACCTGCACTCGACCTGACCTTGCATACCCTCTCAGCATCTTAGCACGCTATGTCGCTCCCGGCCGTCACCGGAAGGAGCACATGGATGCAGGTAAGAGGGTGTTGCGCTACTTGTGCAGTACGTCAGGCATGGGGCTAGTGCTTGGAGGGCGAGACCGGCCTGTTCTCACTGGGCACTCAGACGCTTCCTGGGCAGACGACCAGGCTACTCAGCGGTCGTCCCAGGGTTACACCTTCAGTCTTGGCTCTGGCTCTGTCTCTTGGCGTTCTACTCGCTCTTCTTCTGTTCTCAGCTCCAGCTGTGAGGCTGAGATCTACGCCACGGCCATGGCTGCCCAGGAGCTTCGCTGGCTCACCTACCTGCTGACTGACCTTGGAGAGCAGCCTCGTTCTCCTCCAGTGCTGTACGTCGACAACAAGGCCACCATTGCCTTGTGTGGGGAGCACAGACTGGAGCACAGGACGAAGCACATTGCTCTGTGCTACTTTCTTGCTCGAGAGCTGCAGCAGCGAGGTCAGCTTTGTCTGCGTTACGTGGCCACTCGGGCCAACACTGCTGACGTGTTCACCAAGGCGCTTCAGCCTTGTGACCATCAGCGCTTCTGTACTGTTCTAGGCCTCGTGCCTACTGTCTCTCATTTGCTCACTTCTTGACTTTGCTTGTACAGTGATCTCTATATATATATACCTGCATGCTTACTCTTGCTAGGTTGTGATTACTGTATCTCTTGTTCTTTTATAAATCTGCATGTGAACTGGTCTTGTGACCGCTTGCTTGTGCTCGGAACTTGTGTGGTATCCTTAAGATCCACCCTGAGCTTTGTTTTGCTTTGACTGGTCTTGTGACCCCTTGTTCTCCCCCACTTTGCCTATGGGGGTGTGTCAAACATTGTATGATGTGCTCGTTTAGGCTACAGTGGGTTAGCCTATAGTGGGTACACATTTCTAGGGTTAGGTTTGACCTATTTGTACCCAACACTCATCCTAGTCATTCATTTTCGTTTCTGATTCTGACACAGAGTACATGGCCCTGCATCATAGGGCAAAGGAGGTAGTGTGGCTGAGGCGTTTGTTGGAGGAGATCGGAGTGTGCCAGAGGGAGCCGACTGTGATTTTCTGTGACAATGAGTCGGCGGTGAAACTAGCGAAGAATGTTTGTCTTCATGGGCTGACCAAACACATCAGGCCTAAGTGGCACTGGGTGAGGAGGCTCCTGGACAAGGAGGTGCGGCTGGAGATTGTGAAGACCCATCAGCAGGCGGCTGACATTCTCACCAAGCGCCTGGCTGAATCTGAGCATTGAAAGGGCATGAAGCTTGCTGGGATGAGTGTGCATTGAGGGTGCATGCTTGAGCTATGGCATGTGGGATGATGGTTGGCAGCCAGAGGGGGAGTTTGTTGTGTGATGCAATCAGATGCATTCACGTCTGTCTGCCTCCCATCATGTGTTCGTCCTCTGCATGCGTGGTGTGAGCGTGTGCAAGAATTTATGTTTTGTGCGGTTTGGTTTTTCTGAGTGTGTGTGAATGTTATTTGGCTTGACTAGATATCTGAAGTGACTCCTCTGCTCAAGAGCTTTCCGACGAACCAAGTATCGCTTCAATCGGAGCACAAACAAGAAAGTTGTGAACGTTGGAGTTCGTATGCTTTTCATATTTGATTGTGGCAACTGTGGGAAGTTGTGGGGTTGACTCAATATGGGGTACAGACGTTTGGGGGTTGGGAAATTCGTCTTTTCTACTGTAGTTGCTGCCAAATGGTTGGGAGAAACCAAACCAGGTTGGCAAGTGTGGCCAAGTTGGGCAAGGTGGATGGCATGGGTTGGAAAGTGACAAAAGTGAAAGTGGGGTTCCTATAGGGAAGGGATTTGGTGTGCTTATGGGGTTTCCTTGGTTGGGGACTCCTTGGGGACCTTCCCTCTCGTCCTCCTCTTCCTTCCCACCTGGTTAATTGCTACTCTAACTTCCTTGTGTAAAATTGTGAGACAATTGTGATTGAGTTAAGATTCCTTTGGCACCATTCCCCCCAGTGCGCCGAAATCGATAACTCGAGATGTACTTCACCTCTTAATACGATTCAACTTGGGAAATGTAGCTACGATCTAGAGCTACAGCATATCTGAAATTGGTGAAGTTTTAACGGTGCGTGTTTTGTCGACGACATTTCTTGTGAGCGCGACTTTTCTGTCCAGAATTCTAAGCCAACGATTTTGAGAAATTTAGGCACCTAATCTTCGTAGACTTCGTCCTTAGTCTCTAACAAGTGGTATCAGAGCTGATTAAAGACCTTTTGGAGAGTCTAATGAAGTGTGAAGACCCTCTTAGACCCACCATGGCCTGTGGGCGTGCCTAAGTGGAGTTCTAGAGGTTGCATGTGACTTCCGCTAAGGGGAAACTTTGCCGAAATTTCGTTGGCGTCGACACTTGTGAAGATTGTGTGAATCTACATTGTGACCAGAAAAAGGGGGAGCTGGAACCTCTGATTGGGAGCAGAGGAGATGAGTCAAGGGGGTGGAGAAGCAGCTGAGAAGAAGAGTGAGCCGCCACCATCCAAGATTGAGGCATTGGATGGCTCCAACTATGAGGAATGGAGTGGGCGGATGAGGAGCGCCTTCAAGCGCTACAAGCTGCTGAAACTGGCTATGGAAGAGGAGAAGATGCCCGAGGAAGGAGATGCCCGCGATCGGTGGATTGAGCGGAGCGCGGTGCTGTACGACTTTATTCTACAGTCGGTCAACAACGACATGTTCCAGCACATCAAGGATTTGGTGGAGCTCGATGACTCGGGACCGAAGGCGTGGAAGGTGCTACGCGACGTGGTTCAGCCCAACACGCTGCCGATGGTGATCGTATTGGAGAAGGAGCTGGCTGCCCTCTCCATGCGGCCAAGAGATGATGTGAAGCCGGTCCTTGACAAGGTCAAGGACACCTATGCAAGGATGGCAGCGGCGGGCAGCAAGGTGTCGGAGATGCATCAGTGCACCAAGATAATCTCGGTGCTCGACAACTCGTGGGACAACCTTATCCCCACCCTCAACGCTCAGCAGGACAAGTGGACGCCTGAGTGGCTACGGCAGCAGATCCTGCAGGAGGACTTCCGCAGGCGCCACACGGGAGGTGGTGCTGCCAACAAAACTGCTGAGGGGTATGGAGCTGCAGGAGGCAGCAGAGGAAGAGGGGGAGGGAGAGGCCGAGGTCGTGGGAGAGGCTTTGGCAGAGGGAGAGGCTGAGGTGACTACAATGAGGGGCATGGGAGCTCTGGTGGCAGGGGGAGCACCCGAATGGAGGGTGCCTGCTGGTACTGCAAGAAGGCTGGACACCCATGGTTCAAGTGTTTCAGCCGGCCTGAGGGATGGGCGCCCCCAGGCATGAAGCCGCCAAGTGGTGAATGTGCATGAGGTGGCGCTGTGCAAGGTTCAGGTGCACAAGGTAAAGCCGACCCTGGGATGTTCCTCATGGTTGAGGATGTGCAAGGGAGTGGGGGTGATGTGGGTTCAGTTGGGAAGGTTGTGATGCACCCCCTCACCCACTGGGTGATAGATTCAGGTTGCACAAGTCACATGACCCCACGGGCAGATTTGCTTGACGAGGTAAAACCCCCAGGGAAGATCAAGTTTGTGGCTGCCGCTTCAGGTGCTTTGCTCCCTGTGATTGGTGTTGGGAATGCCAAGGTCATGGGGGCCAATGGAGGGCTTGTGGGCCTGGGGAATGTGCTATTGGTTGAAGGTTTATCCGCTAACCTCCTCTCCGTGCGCCGGCTGCAGAAAAGCAAGGCCAAAGTTACCTTCGGCCCAACCAGCTGCCGTGCAAAGCTTGGGAAGTTGCTGCTGTGGGACTTGGAGGAGAAGAGCAGCTGCATCAAGGACATGTGGTAGCTGCCCATCATCCCTTGGAATGGGAAACCACCAGCAACGGCAAAGGCAGCGGCAGCGGCAGCGGCTAAAGCAACTGCGGGAGGAGAGGAGACTGCACCAACTGATGAGGCCCTGGATGCAGTCAAGAAGGTGCAGCAGTCACAGCAGCTACATGATGAGGTGCTTGCTGGTGTGGATGGGAGTGCTGCATGGGCAAAGGCTTCATCTGGGAGTGGTGAGGCTGATTGGGAGACGTGGCATGAGAGGCTGTGCCATGTGAACATTCCTATGCTGCAAAAGTTGGTAAAGGATGGGTGCTTGAAGGGGCTGGAGGTGAAGGGGGCAGCAAAGGAGATTGGGAGCTGCCCTACCTGCCTTGAGACCAAATTCACGAAGTTTCCCTTCAGCAGCAGCACGGGACCAGCCAAGGCACCACTTGCACTAGTGCACATGGATGTGGTGGGCCCCACGAGGGCCCTTTCTCTCTCGGGCAACCGCTATTTCCTGACCATTGTGGACGACCACACACGTGCGGTGTGGGTCTACCCCCTGAAGACTAAGGGGGAGGTGGCAGCGGCTGTTCTCAAGGAGTGGATGCCGAGAGCTCAAAGGGAGAGCGGACATAAGGTGAAGGTGATCCGCACTGACAACGGGGGAGAATTCATTGGCGCTGATTTTGAGGCGGTGCTGAAGAAGAAGGGGATCCAGCATCAGCTCACAGTGCCCTACAACCCTCAGCAGAACGGCGTGGCTGAGCGGTTCAACCGGACCCTGCAGGAAGGTGCTCGCACTCTCCTTGGGCGTGCAGGGCTGCCGGATCCGTTTTGGGTGACTGCACTGCGGCAGGTCGCCCTTGTGAAGAACAGGGTGCTGGCGACTGTGGGGGACAAGCAGTGGGTCCCCTACACCAAGTGGTATGGGAGTGCACCAGCTGTGAACATGCTAAGAGCCTTTAGGTGCATGGTGGTGTTTCATGTGCCTAAGGAGAAGAGGGGAAAACTGGAAGCTTCTGGGAGATGGGGTGTGCACTTGGGGCTTGCTAAGGATCACAAGGGCTGGCTGATTTGGGACTTGACCAGCCAGCAGCTGACTGTGTCAAGGGATGTGAAGTTCCTCGAGTCCTTATACTACAAGGAGTGGAAGCAGCAGCAGCAGAAGCTTCCCGCTACACCGCTGATCATTGAGGCCGATGAGGTGCAGCGCCCTTCGAGGCAAGTCCAGGTTTCTGTCTCTGAGAATGAGATCTCTGGGGTTACTGAGGATGGGGGAGAACCTGAGGTGGAGGAGCAACAGCAGCAGCCGCAGCAGCAAGGTGCCGCACGTCCAGCAGACCATCCTAGGAGGGATGTGCGCCCTCCTAACCGGCTGACCTATCCGAGCTTTGGCAAGCCAAAGGTGGTACGGGCTGGAAGTGTGGCTGGGAAGTGTGATGAGGATGAGATAGCACACTGCTACTGGGCAGCCGTTCCTGAGCCCAAGACGCTAGCTGAAGCATTGAGCGGGCCAGATGCTGAGAAGTGGGAGCAGAGTGTGAAGGAGGAGTATGATTCTCTGCTGGAGAATGAGACGTGGGAGCTGTGTGAGCTGCCACCTGGGAAGAAGCCCATTTCTTCCAAGCCGATCTTCAGGCATAAGTATGGACCAGATGGGGAGCTGACCCGCTACAAGTCAAGGCTTGTGGCTAAGGGGTTTCAGCAGACAAAGGGAAAGGACTTCAACGAGCTCTATGCTCCTGTGGGGAAAGGCACAACACTGCGGGTGTCATTGGCAATGGCAGCAAACCGTGGATGGCGGGTGAAGTAGATGGACATCACCACCGCCTTCCTCAATCGGATCATTCTGGAGGAGTTGTACATATTGCAGCCTGAGGGTTTGGATGATGGGAGCGGCAGGGTGTGCAGGCTGAAGAAGGCCATCTATGGCCTGAAGCAGGCTCCTCGTGCATGGTACCACAAGTTAGAGGAGACTCTGCTGGCTGGGGGTTTCAAGAAGAGTGAGTGTGATCACAGCTTGTTCCTGCTGCAAGAGAAGGAGCAGTTTCTCATGCTCTTGGTGTATGTGGACGACATCCTGCTCTTCTCTGAGTCGTCTGCAATAATTGAGCTTGTGGAGGAGATGCTGGAGATGCAGTTCAAGTGTTCCAAGATGCGAGATGTGAAGTACTACCTGGGGATGCATGTGGAGAGGGACCTTGACAAGGGAGTGTTGAGGTTGCACCAGAGGAAGTACTGTGAGGGGCTGGCCGAGAAGTATGGGCTGCAAAATGGAGGGAAGCCAGCCACCCCACTGCCTTCAGGGTTCACAGTGGAGCCCTGTGCTGATGAGGAGGTGGTGGGTGAGAGTGACAGGAAGCTGCTTCATTCCATGGTGGGGGCACTCAATTATGCGGCTAACCACACGCGGCCTGACATTGCCTTTGCTACATCTAGGCTTGCAAGTGTGGTTGCACGCCCCAGTCATGAGCAGCTGGAAGCGGCCAAGAGGTTGGTCCGCTATGTGAGTGCTACGGCATCAGTGGGCTTGGAGTACAGTGCTGTGCGACAGAGGCTGCAGAGGGGTGCAGCTGATTTGGGCAAGGGGGAGATGCTCCTGACTTGCTACACCGACGCCAGCTTCAACTCTGTGAAGGCGGATGGCACCAGCATTGGAGGCTATGTGTGCCTGTTTGGAGGTGGTGCAGTGAGCTGGCGCAGCAAGAAGCAGGACGAGGTGGGGCAGTCCTCGTGTGAGACAGAGTACATGGCCCTGCATCATGGGGCAAAGGAGGTGGTGTGGCTGAGGCGTTTGTTGGAGGAGATCGGAGTGTGCCAGAGGGAGCCGACTGTGATTTTCTGTGACAATGAGTCGGCAGTGAAACTAGCGAAGAATGCTTGTCTTCATGGGCTGACCAAACATATCAGGCCTAAGTGGCACTGGGTGAGGAGGCTCCTGGACAAGGAGGTGCGGCTGGAGATTGTGAAGACCCATCAGCAGGCGGCTGACATTCTCACCAAGCGCCTGGCTGAATCTGAGCATTGGAAGGGCATGAAGCTTGTTGGGATGAGTGTGCATTGAGGGTGCATGCTTGAGCTATGGCATGTGGGATGATGGTTGGCAGCCAGAGGGGGAGTTTGTTGTGTGATGCAATCAGATGCATTCACGTCTGTCTGCCTCCCATCATGTGTTCGTCCTCTGCATGCGTGGTGTGAGCGTGTGCAAGAATTTATGTTTTGTGCGGTTTGGTTTTTCTGAGTGTGTGTGAATGTTATTTGGCTTGACCAGATATCTGAAGTGACTCCTCTGCTCAAGAGCTTTCCGACGAACCAAGTATCGCTTCAATCGGAGCACAAACAAGAAAGTTGCGAACGTTGGAGTTCGTATGCTTTTCATATTTGATTGTGGCAACTGTGGGAAGTTGTGGGGTTGACTCAATATGGGGTACAGACGTTTGGGGGTTGGGAAATTCGTCTTTTCTACTGTAGTTTCTGCCAAATGGTTGGGAGAAACCAAACCAGGTTGGCAAGTGTGGCCAAGTTGGGCAAGGTGGATGGCATGGGTTGGAAAGTGACAAAAGTGAAAGTGGGGTTCCTATAGGGAAGGGATTTGGTGTGCTTATGGGGTTTCCTTGGTTGGGGACTCCTTGGGGACCTTCCCTCTCGTCCTCCTCTTCCTTCCCACCTGGTTAATTGCTACTCTAACTTCCTTGTGTAAAATTGTGAGACAATTGTGATTGAGTTAAGATTCCTTTGGCACCATACCCCCCAGTGCGCCGAAATCAATAACTCGAGATGTACTTCACCTCTTAATACGATTCAACTTGGGAAATGTAGCTACGATCTAGAGCTACAGCATATCTGAAATTGGTGAAGTTTTAACAGTGCGGTTTTTGTCGACGACATTTCTTGTGAGCGCGACTTTTCTGTCCAGAATTCTAAGCCAACGATTTTGATAAATTTAGGCACCTAATCTTCGTAGACTCCGTCCTTAGTCTCTAACAAGTGGTATCAGAGCTGATTAAGGACCTTTTGGAGAGTCTAATGAAGTGTGAAGACCCTCTTAGACCCACCATGGCCTGTGGGCGTGCCTAAGTGGAGTTCTAGAGGTTGCATGTGACTTCCGCTAAGGGGAAACTTTGCCGAAATTTCGTTGGCGTCGACACTTGTGAAGATTGTGTGAATCTACATTGTGACCAGAAAAAGGGGGAGCTGGAACCTCTGATTGGGAGCAGAGGAGATGAGTCAAGGGGGTGGAGAAGCAGCTGAGAAGAAGAGTGAGCCGCCACCATCCAAGATTGAGGCATTGGATGGCTCCAACTATGAGGAATGGAGTGGGCGGATGAGGAGCGCCTTCAAGCGCTACAAGCTGCTAAAATTGGCTATGGAAGAGGAGAAGATGCCCGAGGAAGGAGATGCCCGCGATCGGTGGATTGAGCGGAGCGCGGTGCTGTACGACTTGATTCTACAGTCGGTCAACAACGACATGTTCCAGCACATCAAGGATTTGGTGGAGCTCGATGACTCGGGACCGAAGGCGTGGAAGGTGCTACGCGACGTGGTTCAGCCCAACACGCTGCCGATGGTGATCGTATTGGAGAAGGAGCTGGCTTCCCTCTCCATGCGGCCAGGAGATGATGTGAAGCCGGTCCTTGACAAGGTCAAGGACACCTATGCAAGGATGGCAGCGGCGGGCAGCAAGGTGTTGGAGATGCATCAGTGCACCAAGATCATCTCGGTGCTCGACAACTCGTGGGACAACCTTATCCCCACCCTCAACGCTCAGCAGGACAAGTGGACGCCTGAGTGGCTACGGCAGCAAATCATGGAGGAGGACTTCCGCAGGCGCCACACGGGAGGTGGTGCTGCCAACAAAACTGCTGAGGGGTATGGAGCTGCAGGAGGCAGCAGAGGAAGAGGGGGAGGGAGAGGCCGAGGTCGTGGGAGAGGCTTTGGCAGAGGGAGAGGCTGAGGTGACTACAATGAGGGGCATGGGAGCTCTGGTGGCAGGGGGAGCACCCGAATGGAGGGTGCCTGCTGGTACTGCAAGAAGGCTGGACACCCATGGTTCAAGTGTTTCAGCCGGCCTGAGGGATGGGCGCCCCCAGGCATGAAGCCGCCAAGTGGTGAATGTGCACGAGGTGGCGCTGTGCAAGGTTCAGGTGCACAAGGTAAAGCCGACCCTGGGATGTTCCTCATGGTTGAGGATGTGCAAGGGAGTGGGGGTGATGTGGGTTCAGTTGGGAAGTTTGTCATGCACCCCCTCACCCACTGGGTGATAGATTCAGGTTGCACAAGTCACATGACCCCACGGGCAGATTTGCTTGACGAGGTAAAACCCCCAGGGAAGATCAAGTTTGTGGCTGCCGCTTCAGGTGCTTTGCTCCCTGTGATTGGTGTTGGGAATGCCAAGGTCATGGGGGCCAATGGGGGGCTTGTGGGCCTGGGGAATGTGCTATTGGTTGAAGGTTTATCCGCTAACCTCCTCTCTGTGCGCCGGCTGCAGAAAAGCAAGGCCAAAGTTACCTTCGGCCCAACCAGCTGCCGTGCAAAGCTTGGGAAGTTGCTGCTGTGGGACTTGGAGGAGAAGAGCAGCTGCATCAAGGACATGTGGTAGCTGCCCATCATCCCTTGGAATGGGAAACCACCAGCAACGGCAAAGGCAGTGGCAGCGGCAGCGGCTAAAGCAACTGCGGGAGGAGAGGAGACTGCACCAACTGATGAGGCCCTGGATGCAGTCAAGAAGGTGCAGCAGTCACAGCAGCTACATGATGAGGTGCTTGCTGGTGTGGATGGGAGTGCTGCATGGGCAAAGGCTTCATTTGGGAGTGGTGAGGCTGATTGGGAGACGTGGCATGAGAGGCTGTGCCATGTGAACATTCCTATGCTGCAAAAGTTGGTAAAGGATGGGTGCTTGAAGGGGCTGGAGGTGAAGGGGGCAGCAAAGGAGATTGGGAGCTGCCCTACCTGCCTTGAGACCAAATTCACGAAGTTTCCCTTCAGCAGCAGCACGGGACCAGCCAAGGCACCACTTGCACTAGTGCACATGGATGTGGTGGGCCCCACGAGGGCCCTTTCTCTCTCGGGCAACCGCTATTTCCTGACCATTGTGGACGACCACACACGTGCGGTGTGGGTCTACCCCCTGAAGACTAAGGGGGAGGTGGCAGCGGCTGTTCTCAAGGAGTGGATGCCGAGAGCTCAAAGGGAGAGCGGACATAAGGTGAAGGTGATCCGCACTGACAACGGGGGAGAATTCATTGGCGCTGATTTTGAGGCGGTGCCTCATGTACCTGATGACATGCACTCGTCTTGACCTCGCGTACCCTCTTGACCTTCTGGCTCACTACGTGGCTCCTAGTCAGCACCGAAAGATGCACATGGATGCTGCTAAGAGGGCACTGTGCTACATGTGTAGTACATCGGCCATGGGGCTCGTGCTTGGAGGACGGGGCGACGTTGTCCTCACTGGTCACTCGGACGCTTCTTGGGTTGTTGACCAGGCTACGCAGCGGTCGTCACAGGGTTACACCTTCAGTCTTGGCTCTGGCTCTATTTCTTGGCGGTCTATGCGCTCGTCTTCTGTTCTCGGCTCCAGTTGTGAGGCTGAGATCTACGCCACAGCCATGGCTGTACAGGAGTTATGCCGGCTCACCTACCTGCTGACCGACTTGGGAGAGAGGCCTCATTCTTCTCCAGCTCTGTACGTCGACAACAAGGCAGCCATTGCCTTGTGTTAGGAGCACAGACTGGAGCACTGAACGAAGCACACCGCTCTGCGTTACTTCCTAGCTAGAGAGTTGCAGCAGCGGGGTCAGCTTCGTCTTACTCACTTGGGCACTCGGGCCAACACTGCTTATATATTCACCAAGGCTTTTCCGTCTGGTGATCATCAGCGCTTTTGTACTTTGTTGGGCCTTGTGTCTACGTTTTCACACTTGCTGTAGACTTTGCTTATACTGTGATCTATATACATACCTGCATGCTTGCTCTGCTAGGTAGCGATCATTGTGCTGTTGTTGTTTGATATATACCTCTGCATGTGAACTGGCTTTGTGGCCCTTTGCTTGTGCTCAGTGTGTGTGGTGACTTTGTGATCCACCCTGAGCTGTGTTTTTGTTTCTTCTCTTGACTGGTCTTGTGACCATTGCTTGCTCTGGCTATCCCCCATTTCGCCTATCGGGGTGTGTCAAAACATATGCATGTTATATTGGGGCTAGCCTTAGGGGGTACACAAAATCATCTCGACACTCTAGTTTTGTACCCCAACCTTGACCTAATCGACACATCATTCCTGCCTAGTTTCTAAGAGAGTTTGCCCTGACAGCTATCATACCATGTGTTGGGCTGAAAAAGCCCTTAGGATCTTTGCAGGGGTGAACTCTGGGTAGAGTTGGTGTAGTAGCAGAAGCGTTAATAAGGAGTTGTGAACCACCTTGCGCTAGTATATGAGGGCAATGTAAGTTGATTAAAACAAAGAGATACAAGATTATATAAGAGTAAAAGGAATACGAAGAGATACGGTTGTAGCTGTTTTACTTGTTGCTGTTGCGGCTCGATATAGTGACGACTCGGGCAACTGCTCTGTAGCGAGTCAGTTGTGTGTCCTTGCTGTCGCGCTGTACTTGTCAGGTCAAAGGTCGCTGACCTTTGACTTTCGCATAACCTCCAGCAGGTACTTCAACCTCCGAGGGTTGACTCGCTGGTGCCCCGATATGCTTTGCTTCGCTTGTGCCTTAGTGTTTTGACATGACAGAGGCGCTTAGGGCCGATTGTTTCCAACACTCCCCTTCGCTTCTTGAGTGTCGCTGACGTGGCTCTGTCCAGTCAGCAGCATGCAGTATTCGAACTTCTGCTTTCCGATCTTCTTGGTCAGGTAGTCAGCTGCCATCTCGGACGTGGGACAGTATGACAGCTCGAGCCTTCCCTTCTCGAACTCGTCCTTCACAAAGAAATATCGCAGGGCAATGTGTTTTGTCGTGTTCGCGAAGCCGTTCTTGTTGGCGATGCGAATTGCCGACTGGTTGTCGCAGAACAGGGTAAAGTTGGGTAACTCGGCTAACTTCGCTTCTTCCAGCAGCTCGCGAAGATAGAGTCCTTCCTTGGTGGCTGAGCAGAGTGCAATATATTCTGCTTCAACTGACGAGAGAGCAATTAGTTCCTGCTTGCTCGATTGCCTGGAGATAGGTCCGATAGGTTCGAGACGGTAGATGTAGCCGGTGTGGGAGCGCCTATTGTCGGAGTCGTCAGCGTGATCAGCGTCGACGTAGCCGATTAACTTAGTTGGTGTGGTTGCGTTCTTGTAGTAAGTTAGGCCGATCGTTGGGGTGCTGACGAAGTAGTGTAGAGCGCGGTCGATCTCCGCCAGGTGTTCTACTTCAGGCTTCTTGAGGTAGGTGGCGAGCTGGCTCGCGGAGTATGAGAGGTCGGGGCGACAGGTGATGGCTGCGAAGAGAAGACATCCCAGCTTCTTCTGGTAGTCTCGTATGCCGGCGGGCTTAAGTAGAGCGGAGTTTCCTTTGTCGTTCCCTGTCGTGTATCGGTATGGCGTGGAGATGGCTGTCGGTGTGAGCGTGAAGCATTTGGCGATAGTGTCGGCATATTTCTCGGCGCCGAGGTAGATCGCGTCCTCCTCTTCCCGGATGTTGAGGCCGAGGTACTGAGTGACGGTAGATGAAACTGTGAGCGTGAGATCCCGTTGCAGCTTGAATCTGAGTCGTGGGATTTACTTGAGTTGAGGCGATTTGGTTGCTTGAAGGTCGAAGTTGTCGTTGTGGGGTTGTTGACTGTTGACGATTCGGGCAGTGTGTACGCGGGTGTCCTGAAGTTTTGCAGATGTGGCAGAACGGAGGTACTGGCTTCGGTTGTTGCTGTCAGTTGTTGTTGTTGTTGTAGCATCGCTGGGTGTGGAACGCGAATTCCGGTGCTGATGTCTTCTTTTTGTGTCGTTCTTCTTGCAGGTCCATGTCTTGCTGCTCGGCGTGGATTTCGACGCAGAGCGCTACTTCGGAGATTCTTCCGTGAGCTCGGAGGATGGCCTTTGTGGCGCGCCATTGAGGACCGAGGCCGCCGATGATGACTGTCACGAAGGCGTCTTCAGAAATCGACCCTCCGCATCGAAGAAGCTTGTCGCGCAACTCGCGACATCGATTGATATACGCCATTCCTTTCTCCCCTGGTTTCATTTCAACCGTTGTCAGTTGCGCCATTAACCGACTTTGACTTACGCTATCTGTTGCTTGATACAGGCTCTTCAGGTGGTTGTACGCGAGCTCCGCGGAGTTGCCGTAACCTCGGTAAGTCCTTATGTTCTGCTGTTGAGTCGGGGTGATGTTCCTCAGTAGGATCGTATACGCCATCATTGACTGATAGGTGTACTGCTGCTTCTCGTACTGTGTGCCGTTTGTTGGGTATGGCAGAGACCCGTCGAAGAACCCGAGTATCTGCGCGCCTTCCATCATCAGCTCGAACTCGAACGACCAGGTGAAGAAGTCCTTTCCATCGAAGGGTCTTGACGTCTGCATCTTCAGAACGTGAGCGAACTGCGACTGAACTTGCAATGCGTCCAGTGGTTTTTCTTGTCCAGGTGAGGGCTGTGGGTGTGGCATAAAGCTGATGGGCCCGCGCTCGTACGGAGCAAAGGTAGGTTGCTGTTGTTGATTTCCTCGTGCATATGATGAGCCGTCGAGACTCATGGGTGTTGCTCCGTTGTTGTTGCTGTTGTGTGACTGCGCAGGCGCCAATTGCTGGTGTTGCTCGTAGAAGGACATGAAGGAGAAAAACTTCTCCATCATGCTCTGGTCGAAGTCTGCAGGTTGATTCGCGGGAGTCTCGGTAGATGTTGCTCTGGGTCTTGTTGCCGTGCCCTCCTCTGTTTGTAGACCAGAGGCAGGAGGTGGAGTAGGAGTAGTTCCCTGGGAGCCGTTGGAGTTGCTCCTTTCTTTTTGTGTAGCCATGCTGATTCATACTGTTGGTATAGAAGTTGAATTCCCCCTGATAGCTCTCATACCATGTTGGGCTGAAAAAGCCCTTAGGATCTTTGCAGGGGTGAACTCTGGGTAGAGTTGGTGTAGTAGCGGAAGCGTTAATAAGGAGTTGTGAACCACCTTGCGCTAGTATGTGAGGGCAAAGTAAGTTGATTAAAACATAGAGATACAAGATTATATATGAGTACAAGGAATATGAAGAGATACGGTTGTAACTGTTTTACTTGTTGCTGTTGCGGTTCGATACAGTGACGACTCGGGCAACTGCTCTGTAGGGAGTCAGTTGTGTGTCCTAGCTGTCGCGCTGTACTTGTCAGGTCAAAGGTCGCTGACCTTTGACTTTCGCGTAACCTCCAGCAGTTACTTCAACCTCCGAGGGTTGACTCGCTGGTGCCTCGATATGCTTTGCTTCGCTTGTGCCTTAGTGTTTTGACATGACAGAGGCGCTTAGGACCGATTGTTTCCAACACCATGTTGGGCTGAAAAAAAGCCGTTAGGATCTTTGCAAGGCTAAACTCTAAGTAGGAATGTTGTAGGTTTGCGGAAGCGTTTTAATGATAAGTATTGAACCACCTTGCGCTAGTATGTGAGGGCAAAGTAGATTGATTAATGCAAAGAGATACAGGTCTTAATATGAGTACAAGGAATATGTAAGGTGCAACTAATAACCGTTTTATTGTTGCTGTTGCGGTTCGATATAGTGACGACTCGGGCAACTGCTCAATAACGAGTCAGTTGTTTGTCCTTGCTGTCGCGCTGTACTTGTCAGGTCAAAGGTCGCTGACCTTTGACTTCCGCGCAACCTCCAGCAGTTGCCTTTCTTGTCAACCTCCGATGGTGTCAGAACATTATAGCTTACTTATTTGTGTAGGCTATAGTGGGGTATCCCATAGGGGGTACAACCCCATTAGGGTTTCCTATTTGTACTCACTTCGTTCATAGTCAATTCATTCTCGTTCTTTCTTTCACATGGAATCAGAGCAGGTTCCCTCCTAGGGACTGCTTCTAGGGCCCACCGAAGCGCGCCCCGAGGCGCGTTTTCCTTTTTTTTAGCGACCCGTTGTGTCGCCCCCAGCGGCCCGTCGCGCCGCCCTTCCCTTAGCGGCCCTGCCGCCCTTCGATCGCGGCCCCACCGCCCTTCGATCGCGGCTCCGCCGCCCTTCCTTAGCGGCCCCGCTGCCCTCTGCTAAGCGGCCCCGCCGCCCTTAGATCGCGGCCCCGCCGCCCTCTGCTAAGCGGCCCCGCCGCCCTTCAATCGCGGCCCCGCCGCCCTCTGCTAAGCGACCCCGCCGCCCTTCGATCGCGGCCCCACCGCCCTCTGCTAAGCGGC